TTCCTCTCTATCTAAAATCAATAAAAACATAGCCTTCGGTGAGGAATAAAAATTTTAAAAAGCCACTGAATAAACAGATCACCTTAAATGGAATTCTCCTGTACAGAAACCAATCACTCCCCCTCTAAATTAACCTAAGCAGTCCCCCTCACCCCCACCCAAGAACTTCCCTATGTATGCTGCTAGCTCCACGGATGCTCTCCAGATGTAGAAAGAAAGATCTGGCTGAAAGGATACAGCATTTTAGTGTTAACTGGAATATACATTTCTGCTGAAACTTCATTAAAACTGTTTTTCCCTAAATTATGTCTGAAGAGTTCAGACTAACACTGTGATGGTGAATTTTGTGTGTCAACTTGGCTAGGACACGGTACCCAGACATTGGGTCAAGCGCTAATCTAGATACTGCTGTGAAGATAATTTTTTAGATGAGATTAACATTTAAATCAGTAGACTCTGAGTAAAGCAGATTCCCTCCATAATGTGGGTGAGCCTCATCCAATCAGTTGAAGGTCACAGGAGAAAAAAATCGACCTCTTCAAAAGGGAGGATTCTGCCAGTAGGCTGTCTTCAGTCTTAAGGCGCAAAATCAACTCTATTCTGGGTCTCCAACCTGCAAGCCTTGAGCCAATTCCTAAAAATAAAAATCCTCCACCACCGCCCCCCCCATACACACACACTTCATACTGGTTCTGTTTCCCTAGAGAATGCTAATACAATTGCCTAGCCCATCTTCTGAGGAAATAACCTGTACTTATGCTTCAAAGAGCAAAAATGAGACCTATTTAAATGGCTAAATAGAACTCCACTTCCAGGCAAAAACAAAACAAAATCACTATGCATGACTATTAACTGGAAATTTCTATTTCCACCCCAAATGCTTGGCATTTCAAGAAGTTATCAGTCCTAGTTCCTTCAAAAGGGAGACTCCAGTGAAATCTGTAAAATGAACGGTGATGCTATAAAATGGATTCATTATACCAGTAGGAGAGGAGAGCCAAAAGGAAGTCAAAGAGATGAAATGCTAGGCGTTTATTGCATTGCTCAAACAAATGAAATAAGTCTAAAGAGCCACTGCTCTCCAAGCCTAGGTTCAGGTTCACAAGAATAAAATGAAGACATTATGAAATGTAGAAAATGCAACCTGGGCTGGTTTTGTTTTAAATATGTCCTCAAGTCTAGAACCACCATTGAGCTAAAGCAGCAAAGTCTGACCCCCACTCCTCGACAACCCAGAAAGACTTCTGGGTTGATGTGGTTCTTACCTGGCCATCTGCTTGTAGGCTTCTTCTGCCACAGCAAAGATGTGGGGGTCCATATCCCCCATGTTTTGGCCGCTGTAGGCATAGATGACATCTTGTCCATAGATTGGCAGCTGTTCATAAGGATTAATGGCAACGAGCACAATACCTGCAAACAAACAATGCAGTCAGATTCTCATAGCACAATGGGCCCCAGTATTAGCTAATAAAGGCCCCTGTTCATATCCACCAAATCTAAAGAATGAGAGGGTAACAGAATGAGTCTTAATGAATCACTCAACTAAATGAAGACATATCTATGTATTTACCAGGCACCATGCTAGGCCCTGGTAGAGAAGAGAATGACAGGGCAGGCTTCCAAATATTCTAGAGCATGAAATAAGCACACACAAGCACGTGCACAGACGCACACACAAATGCTCCACAAATTGAATTCATAAAATAAATGTGTGAAGTATTGTAGCATCAGAGAGAAGAAGATGCTTAACTCTGCCAACAGGTATGAGGCTTAAAAAGCCACCTCAGAATTAAAATCTAGTAAAGGAACTATTAATTGTTCATTTGTGTATGGGTTATATTAACTAAAATACAAACAACTGGTGGAGACGGAGCATGATTTATACACCTTAAGGTTAAATCTTGGCTCAGCCAATTGTATACTGGGTGACTTAGGCAAATTACTTAACCAGAGTGCCTCAGTTAATGGGCCTGTAAAATGGAGATAAGAACTGCATTTACCTGGGTTATCCTGAAGACAAAATAATTACTAGAGAGAGAGAGAACACTTAGACCAGCACCTTACACAGTAAGCACTGAGTGCTGGCTAGTTTTGATGATCTTGTATCACATTATATTATGTATTATATTTCATTTCACCTTTTTTTTTCATCTTGTGACCCTAAAAGGATATACTGCAATAATGGATTCAAGAAATACATATTGATTGAAGAATGGTAAATCCTCTAACCTTTTGAATCTTTTATGGAAGGGTAAGGTAAATTAGTATTTGAGAGAAAAAAATACAAGCTCTATCTTCAAGACAAGACAGAATCCATGCCTTTCCCTTTCTTTTCTTTTTTTAAAAAATATATCTTCATTGATTTCAGAGAGAGGAAAGGAGAGGGAGAGGGAGAGGGAGAGGGAGGGAGAGAGAGAGAGAGAGAGAGAGAGAGAGAGAGAGAGAAACATCAGTGATGAGAGAGCCATCGATCGGCTGCAGCCCACAACCCGGGCATGTGCCCTGACCGGGAACCAAACCCCGATTGCCTGGATCCCAGGTTGATGCTCAACTGCTGAGCCACGCCCGGCCAGGCCATGCCTTTCCCTTTCACATAAGAGCACATTCTGAATGTCAGGAGAACCATTGCCAGGGCTTCAAAAAACACACACTCTTCCAGTTGTGTGGGGGACAGAAGACAAGAATGGAAAGGTCACTGCCAAATAGGAAACCTCTTTCACTGTGTTACCTTCCACTGTTTGAAGAGAAACATGGTCAGGACAAACCACAGACAGGGAGAAATATTTGCAAAAACCACATCTGATAAAGAATTAAATTATCCAAAATATACCAAAAACTCAAAACTCAACAATAAGGACATGAACCACCCAATTAAAAAAGGGTAAAAAACTTAAACAGATACCTCATCGAAGAAGATATATAGATGGCAAATAAGCATTTGAAAAGATGCTCCATATCATATATCACAGGGAAATGCGAATTAAAACAACGTGATGCCACTACACACCCATTAGAATGGCCAAAACCCAGTAACACTGACAACATCAAAAGGTGACAAGGATGTGGAGCAACAGAAACTCTCATTCACTGCTAGTGGGAACGCAAAATGGTACAGCCACTCTGACAGTTTCTTACAAAACTACACATAATCATGCCATACGATCCAGCATTCACGCTCCTTGGGGGTTTATCCAAAGGAGTTGAAAATGTATATCCACACAAAAACCTGCGCATGGATGTTTATAGAAGCTTTGTTCATGATTACCAGAACTTGGACGCAACTAAGAAGGCTTTCAATAGGTGAGTGGATAAATAAACTGCAGCACATCCAGATAACAGAGTATTACTCAGCACTAAAAAGAAATGAGCTATTGAGACACAAAAAGACGTGGAGGAACCTTAAATGCATATTATCAAGTGGAGGAAGGCAATCTGAAAAGGCTACATATTGTGATTCCAACCACATGACATTCTGTGAAAGGCAAAATTACGGAGATGGTATGAAAGATCAGCCGTTGCGGGAGTTGTAACAGAGAGAAAAGTATGAACAGGCAGAGCACAGAGGACTTTAAGGCAGTGAAACGACTGTCATGCTACCCTAACGGTGGCTATATGTCATTTCACATTCGTCCAAACCCACAGACTGTACAACACCAAGAGTGAACCCAAATATAAACCATGGGCTTTGGGTGATAATGACGTGTCACTGTGGGTTCACTGATTACAGCAAATTCACTCTTGAGCGGAATGTTGATAGCGGGGAGACCGTGCATGTGGGTGGGGAGGGGGTACAGGAAATCTCTACACTTTCCAGTTAATGTTGCTGTGCACCTAAAATTGCTTTAAAGGTAAAATCCATTTAAAAGGAGGAGAGAGAGAGAGAGAATAAAGCAACCAGATTATTCCAAGTAAAGGGCAACGAGAAGAAAAGGACCCATAAGTCCACTTCAGATGAAAGTTTGCCTAAAAAGACAACCTGGACTGAAAAATAAGGCCCAGAACTCTGATAAACCCCACTTAAGAGAGCTAATGACTTGGTGAATTCTCTTAAAAACAGCCCCACATATTCTACTGGTTATTAGAATTGCATAAAACCCTAATTCGGGTAGTATTCAATTCAAAATTTGATATGAATTTTGAATACTTTGAGGTCACACATTTTCCTAAAATGTCTCAGCTCCCTCCAGGGCAGAAATAAGTGCTTCTTAATGAGTTGAATTCTGTGCTGCATCAGCCACTCTGAACAGTGGAAGCATTTGGACAAATACATACGGATACCAGGACCTCTCTTAGAGGGGATGCTTTTAAAAAGTAAAGATGACCAAAGAATTTATATGCATATATGCACAGCCCGTGGACACAGAAAATAGTGTGGTGAAGCCTGCGGTGGAGCAGGGGCTGGGCGAAGGGGGGCAAAATAGGGTAAAATGGGGGATATCTGTAATACTATCAGTGATAAAAATAATAAATAATAAAAATAAAAAGTGAGGCTGATGGTCATTTGTCACATTCTCCTAAAAAGGGAGATTTTAAAAAATCTTGTTAAAAAAAAAAAACTTATTGAAGGTTCTGGCAACTGATGGTTTCTTTCAAATAAAACTCCCACTAGCAATTGGGGTGAAGGAGCTTTTGCAAAACTACCTCTCAAGTGCCAAGATCAACATGCCATTCACCACTCCTGAAATCTGGCAGGAAAGCTCACTCTAACTTAGTAGCCAACTGATCAATTCCAGACCGAAGTGGAATATCACAGTGAAAAGGTCCCTCATGCCCTGTGGCCTCACCTGTGGTCGCAGACAAGACCAGGCTCTGAAGCACAACCAGGACAACCCCACAAAGAAGCTCTCAGCCTGACTCCTCAACCAAATCCTAAAACATCTGTCCCTCCAACAACAGTCTATAGGGTTCTTATTTTCACCGTAACATTTAATTATACTCTAAGGAGAGGAACTAAAATTTAGAATGTGGGAAATTGAGAACTTTCAAGAAAGACGATTACGAGAGAATTCCAGGATTTTTAGTTGAAAGCATTTGTCATGCATGGCTTCTGTTCATGAACTTGACAAATGTTGATCAAAGCACCATGTTTGTACATGTGCAAGTGAGAGGGTTAGAGGAAAAAGGCAGCCCTTTCACAAGCAGAAACTGAAAAATAAACCAGGTATAGATGCGGGAGTGTACTCGGTGGTAAGAGCAGATGCCGGAGCTGGGACACCAGTCTCCTAAGATTCCAGGACTGTGCCCAAGCCAGTCAAGTGACATAGTGTGGGCCACTTCTTCCCTGGTTGAGCTGTGACTGACACCAGTCACCCCACAGAGATGTAGGGCAGTGTAATTAAGCAACATTCACTGACTGGAAACCTTCCCAGGGTCTCAGATGAGAGGGGCTTATTATGTAAATGACAGTGAAAGTAGGATTCTTAACCACTGGAGTTTAACACGGAAAATCTAAAGATTGTAAGCACTTTCAGACACATGCAGCCAAGAGATGCCCCCCACTTACCACAGTAAGTGTAGATATGGTTGGACTCCAGGAAACGGACCTTTAAATTGTGCAAAACTGCAGGCTCATGTAGATAGCTGAGAGCAGTTAGGTCATTTTCGCCCACCAAGATATCTGGATTCCGTAAGAAGGGCAGCTGGTTGCTTTGGACATCAATGGGGTATTCTCGAATCTAAATGGAAGTAACAGAACACAAAAAGGCCCAGTTATGAAGCATTTAGCCTGCATTCAGTTCCTGTCTTACTGGCTTGGATAGCTATCCTAACATGATCATAAGTGACAAAGATAAATAACATGTTTTAAAGAAAGGCAAACTGAACAAAATACCTGTGTTGGATAAGACACCAGCCCAGGTGGAAAATTTGCTGATAACATAATCTCAGTGTATATCAAGGTAAAAGACTGAAAGGCATGAGGAATTCAGGAAGCACAGCTAGATTTAATAAAGAGTTCTGCTCCTCAATAAAAAAAACACTTCCTGAGTCTTTAATTCTAGTTCCAATAGGAATACTGCTCCTTCTCCCATCCAGGAAACTTTCTCTGGTTTTCCCCTTTTCATGCTGGTGTTTCTTTACTCTCTCTCCCATTAACCAACACATTCACTTCTTATTTGGATTACTCTGCAACTGACAAACTACCTTCCTTATGTGCCCTCAAGATGTTCATATATTTTCCCACTACCTAACTGCAAGCTACTCTAGGGCAATAATTTTACTTTGACCTAAAGTATAACATAAGCTTGAGGTGTTTGTGTGTGTGTGTGTGTGTGATCAGGGAGTATGACTACACATTCTTAAGTTCAAATCTCAAGTGCAAAGTGTATCCTTTTACTCTTAGCACAGCATTTGGACTACATACGTTTATTGACAGGATATATTTATAACTCTGATTACATGTGTACAAACACATACGTATAATTAATAAAAAGATGGTGATATTTTTAAACATTTAAAACAGGAGGAACTTGGCCACTGCTTCCCATGTTTTATCTGAGTGTTAAGTTTCTTATAGTGTTCTTAAGAATCAACTGAGCACTTATAAAAACAGTTTCCCAAATACAACATATGTTCAGGAGTTCTGTATGGGGCCTAGGAACCTGAATTTTTTTTTTTTAAATCCCCAAGTAGTTCTGATACAGATAGGTCATTATTTTAAGAATCGCTATTCTAAACAAGCCTTTCATGACATTCTAGGCACATGGCCTCAATTTACTGAGCTAACAGTCAAATTTTGAGAGAATATAAATATCAATGCCCCCTCCCATCCCACTCTTAGAGGGACTTGCACCACCCGATCCTAATGTATATTAATAAAGCCCACAATTAAAGTACTATGGTAAGAGTTCTAAAATAGGCAGATAAGTGAAATGTAATAGCAGATCCAGAAAAAAATGCAAGCACACATGGAAAATTTGTTCATGACAACATCAAAAGTGCAAATAAATGATTAAAAGGAATTTTTCAAGTAAGAGTAGTAAACTAGCAGCCACCGAGGAAAAATACTGGGCCAGTGTTCTTTTCTCACTCCCTCATACCAAAATAAGTTTTAGACAGAACAAATGTGAAAATAAAGAAACCAAAAAGAAAAACAAAACCAGTAAGAAAAAATGGGCAAATGTCTGTAAAAGTTTTAGAAGGGACTACTACTTTTAAAGATCCATGCAAAAGCTAGAACAATGTGGGAAAGTATTCATTAATTTGACAATATATAACTTTAAAACCATCACAAAACACACCATACACAGAGTAAAATGGAAGAAGGGGACAGTAATTCTGCATTATGATTGAATTAATAATCTTAATATCCAAAAAGTTTTAAGAAATCAGAGAAAACTAACACCCTAACAGAAAACTGTGCATAGAATACAAGTCTCAAAATAAGAACTGCAAATGAACAACATATGAAAAACCACTCAACTTGACCATTAATTAAAATGATGCAAATAAAAGGTCATTAGCACTAATATTATCCATCGGATAAACTAAGGTATAAAAACTGACAAGACCCCAACTAGGAAGGGTATGGGCAAACGGGTTCACTGCTTGTGGGTTCAGAATGATTTACCCTTTCTGGAAGGCAGCTGGCAACACCTGGTCAGAAATTGTCTTGAATATGCTCTTTCTTGGCCTCAGGAGACAGTCTTACAAACTAGTGAAGATATCGACTCACTAAGCTATGAATATGAAAAGTAAAACATGACTTGGATCTGTATTTTTGGTCAGGCAGCTACACACAGCATTGTGCTAAATCTAAGAAAAGGCATGTCAGAGAATGAAATATATAATATGATTGCATTTATTTAAAACTGCATGCTAAACTCTGTCTGGAGTAACAGCCCTACAAAATACCAATGGTTATCTATATTAGTGAAGTTTTCATCTTTGTAGTTTCTTTCTGTGAAAAGCTCTTTTATTTGTATCAAACTTACTCCATACAGGAGATTAGTAAACAACTATCATGAATGTGATGCAGACAAAATTTCCAAAAGGTGGGAGACTAAGGGAAATGGAGTGTTAAGTGATTTTTATCTCATTAAATTCTAGAGTGGATGGCCCCCTTCACCTCCTGCTCAGTTAGTGGGATCACTGGAACTCTACCCAGACCTCCCTGATGTAGCCATTCTGAAGACTTCCCAGTGGAGAAGTCCTTTCCCCTTAGAAGCATGTCTGCTCAGCAGCTCCAACTGGGTCTCCACCCCCTGGGGAAGAAGCACAAGGAACAGCCAATAGCAGAACTGCAGAGGTCACGCAGCCAACTCCAGTTTTCAGATTAGAAAGCAGGAACCTGAGCCCAGTGTCTTTAAACCCTGAAGCAGAAATGCTGGCATTCCATCTTTTGTCAGATGAATCTCCCCTTAAAATACTGTCCAGCAAGCATGCAGAGGGAAATGCACATGCAATTTTGCAAAAACATGGTCCACGAATAAGCTAGTGGTATTGGTTACAGAAAAATTGATAAGAAGTAAAAATGCCCAGAGCAGCAGAAAAGAGGCAGAGCTGCAAGCTCAGCATTGAAAGCCACAGACTTCCTGGTGTGCATACACTGAGAGGGAAGGCAGGAACGAGAAACTTGGCAGATTTTTTTCTTTAACAGGAATTTGATCCTAACGCTGCCACAAGTGTCTATCATTGACCGCTAACATGGTTTTATTAGAAATCTAAGTGTTTACGATGTGATCGGGGACCATGAACTTTCTGGCACAAAAGACTTCACTACATAATAACTGGGCCTTTGGAGGTGGAAGAAAAAAAAAAGATGGAAGGTTAACACATCACAAAATTAATGCTCAGTCACCCACTTGAAACAGCCTCAGCCTCCCCCTTGAGAGCAGGAACAGATGGGGGTCTGCAACTGGTCCCCATCCAGCACACAGGACTAGACGACGCTACAAACCATAGAGGGAAGAGGGTAGAGCACTGGTCTATACTTGCACTCTCCAAAAGGGTAGCACACGTGGCTATTTAAATTAAATTCATTCAAGTTAAATACAATTACAGCTTCAGTTTCTCAGCCACACGAACCACATTTCAAGGGCCCAGCAGCTGAGGCGGCTAGTGACTACCACACAGACCAATACAGATAGAGGACATTCCACTGTGCTGCAGTGTTCTGCTGGGCAGCACTGGTCTAGATTGCTCTAAACTGTGGTCTGTGATTCTAGGATACGTAGTAGGTCCTCTAAAAATATCAGTGGAAAGGATGTCTAATTAATTCATAACCTCTCCCTTACCTCAATTTGTGTCCATGTTACATGGAACTACAGCAAGAAAACATACAAACATCTTTGAATGACAACTCCACACACAAAGGCTTAAAGCTAGTAATAGCATATGTGGTAGATAAAGAAAGCCAACTTCTTTCTCCTACTCTTTCTACCCACAGATACAGAAGATCTAGAGAAAAGATAAGCTAGTAAAAATAATGGTTACCAACTGGCAAGAGGACCCCAAGGAGCTACAAATATTATACTTGTGTGGAACCCGCACCCAAATGGGAGTTAAATTCTATACTCAAGTCCTGGCCATCAACCAAGGCAATAGTTCTCAACTTTTTCTGTATGTTGGAATCCCACAGGGAGCTTTATAAACAGGTATTCTGTGTCCCATCCTCAAGTTCTGATTTAAGTAGTCTGGCTGCTACCTGGGCTTTGTGATTTTTCTGCAAAGCTCACCAAGGATTTCCAATGTGCAGCCAAAGGTGAGAACCACTGAACTCAATTGCTATGAGGCCTTAAGCCCATCCCTTCACTTCCTCAGACTGAGGTTTCCCTAAATGGTAGGATGAGAGGACTGGTCCCAACAACCTCTAAGGGCCCTTCCAACTTTACTGGCCTGAAGCATTTAACTTAGGTCAGTGGATGGAAGGGTGTTCTCTTTTGTGAAATTAGAAAAGCTGTCCCGCAGAGAAAACAAAGTGGTATGAAGTTCTGCTCCCCACATCACTGACACCAACGCGTTGCCTCCACATTCACCAGGCAGATGAAGATGAACTCCCATCAGTCTTCTAGGGTTCTGCCTGAAGTGGTATCCATCAGTCCTATCGAGAGCTCTCTGGGCAAAAGTCACCATGGGGTCCCACCTAACTGCAAGGGGGCTAAGGACCATGGAGTATTTAGATACCATCTCTGTCACGATAAGTGCTCCTGCTTTGGGAAGTCAGAGAGTAACTCAAAGGGAGCTCCCACGAGGGTTTCAAAACAAGTGTGAGGTTGGGGAGTAAAGAGAGAAGGGGCAGGAGGAAGAGTCAGGTGTCTCACTGTGTTTCTTCGTAGACGTCTAAAGGTTCTTGGCCTTCATTTTCTAAACCCTGTATTTGTATACAATGTACATTCGCTGTAAGTTACACAGAAAGCTCCACAAAGGTTCAGATGTGCCATTTTCACTGCTGTATAACCAGACCCTGGCATATAATAATTGCTGAATAATAATTGTTTAAATGAATGAGTAATGAATGAATGGTGATACAAGTAATTAAAGGAAGAAAAAAGCCATGAAAACACAATTTAAAAATTCGAATTATAAACATTACAGCAGCACAAAATATGGAGTCAAAGTTAATCTTTTAATTTTAATTTATTGCAGGGAACACAGCTTCCACATTCTGTTAGCATCAAGGAATCCTGGCTTAGCTTTTAAATTGGTGTTTATCAGCAATAAACAGCCCAGACCATTTCCTCTATGGCTTAAATCAGAGTTTCTCAACCTTGGCACTGTTTTCTTTTAGGACTAGATAATTCTTTCCTTGGGGGAGGAGAGGAGATGGAAGCTGCCCTGTGCATTATAGGGTGCTTGCCAGCATCCTTGCCCTCTACCCACTAGATACCAGTAGCAAACCTCCCTCCTCAATCATGACATTGCCAAATGTCCTGGGCGGCGGGGGCATCACTGCTTTGCCAATCTGTAAGCAGAAGCAGCCAGGAAAAATATCCTAATTGATGGAAAAGATCAGAAATGCAGCAGGGAAAACGGATTGATAGTAAGGAGACAGACATCCATCTGGAGCTGGTGATGGCCGCACAACAGTGTGAATGTGCTTTGTGCCACTGACCTGGACACTTAAAAATGGTGAAGATGGTAAACGTTAGAGGGCTGGGATATGCCCAGACACAGATAGAGGGTGTCACTCTTTTTAAAGTTCACGTACTCCGGTCTTTCACTAAGTCAGGGCCTCTTGTTTACAGGGAGTACTCACCATCAAGGTGGCTGCTGGACACTGGATACAGAACTGAATGAAATGCAAAACCATGGAAAGGGGGAGTTTTCCCTGACACTAGAGGGCAGGAGTCGAGCAGTTTGTAAGAGGGTGGGGGCAGGAGAGAGAAGGCCTGCCAGACAGAGTCCCACTCCCAAAGAATGAGGAAGCTATATTTATCACCACGGCGTGCATTCACCCAGAGGCTTGACCCAGATTGAGAACAGAGGACTGTGCTCAGGGTGGGCACCCCTAGATTCCTTGCATCCATCACAGCTGTGGGGAGAAAAAGAGAAGACACTATCTTTCTCCCCTGAGAAGCTTCCCATCTTCTCATTGGCTTAGAGATAAAACATGTTACATTGCGCTAAGTGAAACAAGCCAGAAACAAAAGGACAAATATTGTATGATTACATTTCAATGAGATACCTAGAATAATCAAACTCAGAGACAGAAAGTACAGTAGAGATTACCAGGGAAAGGAGGAATGGGTAGGGACAGTTAGTATTCACTGGATAGAGTTTCAGTTTTGAAAAATGCAAAGAGTTCTGGAGATAGATGGTGGTGATGGTTGCACAACATGGAAGTACAATAGTTTCCACTTATCCTCAGGGGATACGTTCCAAGGCCACCAGTGGATGCCTGAAACCTAAAATAGTACTGAACGCTATATATACTATGCTCTTTCCTATACACACATATCATAAAGTTTAGCCTATAAACTAGGCACAGTAAGAAATTAAAAATTACTAATAGTAAAATAGAACAATTATAACAATATATTGTAGTATAAGTTATGTGAATGTAGCCTCTCTCTCTCTCTGATAACTGATCAGATAACTGAGACAGCTACTCAGTGATTAACAGGCAGGTAGAGTATACAGTGTGGATACACTGGACAAAGGNTCTCTCTCTCTCTCTATGATAACTGATCAGATAACTGAGACAGCTACTAAGTGATTAACAGGCAGGTAGAGTATACAGTGTGGATACACTGGACAAAGGGGTGATTCACATCCCAGTGAGGTGGAATGGGATGGTGCGAGATTCCATCACACTAATCAGAATAGCATGCAATTTAAAACTTATGAATTGTTTATTTCTGGAATTTTCTATTTAATATTTTTGGATCACATTTGACCACAAGTAACAAACTCTGAATATGAAACCATGGATAAGGGGGCGCTACTGTACTTTATGCCACTGAACTGTGCACTTAAAAATGGGTCACATGGTGCCTCGCTGGTGTAGCTCAGTGGTTGAGCGTCAGCCCATGAACCAGGAGGTTGGGGTTTGATTCCCGGTCAGGCACATGCCTGGGTTTCGGGCTCAATCCCCAGTCGGGGCAGCCAATCAATGACTTTCATCACTGATGTTTCTATCTCTCTCTCTCCCTCTCCCCTCCTCTCTCTGAAATCTTTAAAAACATTTCCTTTTAAAAGGTTCACATGGTAAATTTTATGTTTTGTATGTTTTACCACAATAAAAATAAATAAGCAAGCAACAGGGGAAAAGAAACTTCTTAGAGGAACACTGAAGAGCTGACCACCTTGAACAAGGAGCACAGGTTAGCAGTTAGGTGGAAGCCAGGGGTTCGAAATATTGTTCTAGAAGAGAACGAATTTATTTTCTTCCTTTGCTGCTGCAGTTAAACCCACATGATTGGACTTCAGAGGGAGGAGCAAGGGAGTGGGGGAGAGGGACAGCAGGGCAGATTTTCCATCCAGGTGTATCAAGGATGATTTCAGCAGCAGGGGAGCCTCTCTTCAAGCATTCAGTCCCCACCTAATTTTTGTGCTCCTGCCTTTGGTCCACAGATCAACTGAGTCACTCCTAATGACAGCTCAGAGACAGCAATGGACTAACCGCAGCCCATGAGCAACCTGGACAGAGTCAGATGTTCAGAGAACATTATTTCTCTAGCACTGCTCATCTCCAGCCCCAGGCATCCCTTCTGATTACACGCTGACCGTCCATGTAGCAGGGGAGGGAGGGAGAAGGGCTCCTGGGCTGCCAGGATTAGTCACGCAGGGCAGAATTCATTTTCAGCTGGGGAGGCACGCATCTGCTCTGTTTTGGCAACACAGATTATTCCTCGCTACCTCCGTACAACTCTTTAAAAATACCCACTCATTTAAAAAATCAACTGTGAAATCTGTTGAAGAATCATTCGAGTGGGTGAACTAATTTCATTCTGTTTCGGGCGTGGGGTGGGAAGTTATTCAACATGGTAAACATGATGCCATCTGTTGGGAATTTTGTTTCTCACTTCTAAACCAAGAGGAGGCTAGCAAAGTCAGTCTGCCAGGGAGGGGAAGGGGAGGGGGCAACCTTGGAGTAAACATCTCCTAACAAATTCCCTGTTCTAGTTTTACCAAGGGATGTTCTCAAGTTGATGCAAAACCAAAGTGAGTAGGGGAAGGATGGTCACTCTCCCCACTAATCAGTGAGTTAATCACCAACTACGGTAGATACAATGTCAGCAAAGCGTAAGACACGGTCCATTTCTCAAGTGGGTCATTAACTATCTAGAAAGACAAAACCAAAATGCTTGAAAGAAGAAAAAACAGTAGGAGGGTAAATGACCAAAGGCTAAAGATGGGCACAAACTTAGTGCTACTGCAGTTCAGAGAGAGGCAGTGGTCACTCCAGCCTTCCCTCCAAGCAATGCCTGCTCCGTAGCCCCTCAAACAACTCATCCCAAAGCCGATTCTTCATTCTTTCTGCCACTTCAGTCAAAACCTGTTTCCTCCCAGGCTCGCCCACTGTAAACCTTGCATGAATGACCTCAACCTGCATCCTACCCACCATCTATCCCCTTCTCCAATGGTTCCCCAACTAGATGCACTGGCCTTTCCTTCTTCAACATACCAAAGGGACACACAGAGGCCTCAGGACTTTGGCACACACACCTGCCTCGGCACTCTCTCCTCTACTTGTACCGTACCCTGAAACTTCAATGGCTGGTTCCTTTCCACCTCCTCACCTCAGCGGGTTTTCTCCTTTAGGTTCCCTCCCACACCTCATCCACTGGCTTCTGTGACTACTGCCACTTTGCCACACTTCTGTGTTCGTGCTCACTGATGCCTCCAGCACTAAGCTGCTCCCCCAAATGGCAGGGCCACAACCATTCACCCATACACCCCAGAACCCAGCACAGAACGAGCATTTGAATATTTGTGAAATGCACAAATCACAGAGAAGGCTGGTCACGAAGGCTCATGAAAAGAGAAACTGACTCAGACGTAGGAAGAACAGGATTTCAGTTACTGCCTTGTCTTCCTTTGCAGCAAAACCACCTGAAAGTCAACTGATGAAAAAGAAATCTCACTGCAGCAGCTAACACATATCAAGTGCCAGTGTGCCAGGCTCTACTCTGAGTCACACAGTAACTCATTTTATTCTCAAAAGTGCCCTAGGCAAACTATCACAGATGAAGTAACAGGCACAGAAAGACTGCTAATTTGCACAAGGGCACAAATGATGGCTGAGCCAGGATCCCAAATCCAGGGCTGGTGCTCCCACTACGGCACCGTGCACTGTCTCTTCTAGCAGCTACTCAGTTACTTCCCATGGATGCCTTCCAAAGGAAGAACCACCCCCTCCGTTCCCTCCACTCCACTGAGAAGATCTGGCCTCAGCCACCAGTGATCTCCCAGCTGCTAACACCAATGGGCACTTATGTTACATGACATCCATGGAGCAGCTTCATGGTTTAGCCCTGTCATGTACATTATCATCAACAGCGATGAAAAATGTGCCAGGGGTTCAGAAGCTCCAATCCACAAGAGAAACTCAAGCCCACCAGGTACCACCCAGTCCTGTTCAGCAGACCCTGGCAAGCCCATCCCCAAGACCCACACTTACAGTTTCATCTTCCAGTCTGAGCTGGAGGCTCTGGTCCCCCTCCTTGTAGTCCTTGGTTAATTCAGCCGAGCGCCACACTTCATCAGGGTCGGGAATCCAGACCCTTGTGTACTGAAAGATTAAAACAGGAGAAACTTAGATACAAAATGAAGCTTTCAGGCTTCTAAGCATGTGTCGCTGGGTACGGGAGCCCTCAGGAGAACTGAAACCATCTGGACACATTTTTCCTCCCTTCTCATTTCAACATACAAGGTGATCCAATACCATGATAATAGATAAATAACTCACAGGTGACAGAGGGCACCCTCTAGTTCCTAAGAGAATATCCCAGATCAATGAAATTAGAATTCTACCAGGGAGACTACCAAGCCTGCATTTGGTTTTCCCCAGAGTTTTATGCCATCGTCTCCAAGGGTGGTACAAAATAGGGATGGGGAGGGGGCGGTCAGTGTGTTGCAAACAACAAAATGACCCGTGCAAAACCCAACAAGATGGCATAGCAAATCTTCAAAGCTTGGGAATCTCTGCTCTGATATTCTGCATTCAGAGACAAAGCTACTTTCCTGCAGAAGTGAAAGAAAGCAGTCAGTAAATTGAGTGTGTATTTATGCACTTAAAATGTCAGCAACCTCAATTTATTTGTGCATCCTTTAAGTCACAAACATACCCCAAAATCTCATCCAACCTCCCCCAGGTTATTAATCTGCCCTGGGTACATGGCAATGCACCTCAATGTAACTTGGGGATCCTCAGCCCCAAAGGCACTTCAGAATCCCCTGGGGCTTTGAAAATCCAAGTCTGGGTGCCGCCTCAGACGGGTTCAGTCAGGGCCTGAGGTGGCATAGAAGCTCCCAGGTGAGTGTAACGGGCAGCCAGGGAGAACCACAGGTCTGTTGCTCTTAATGGTAGTACTTCCGAATTTGTTTCACAGCTATGTGATTTCCACAGGGTCTGTTTGGTTGAAAAGACTTCCATGTGCATATGCACATGCAAACACACACATATGGTTTCATGGACACAGAATATTCTTAACAAATCTGAAACTAATGGCTCTTTTGACCAAAAGGCCAGCGAGAATACATACTGGGGTCAGCATGATCCTCCCTCACAGGGCGAGGATCCAGCTCCAGGCACAGACCCTGTGGCCCGTCTGTTGCTTGGACACAAGCAACCTGCAGGCTTTATTTTGGTCCTGCTTTTTTAGTGTTTTCCTCCAGGTGGTCACTGGCCTTTTTTTAAAAGCAAGCCCGTGGCCCCTGCTACACTTGCCTCTGACTCTGTATTAAACTGTGAAAGTCAAGAGGCAAAAGTCAGAACACTGATCAACAGGAAAGCAAACAGCCGCCACTTTGCCTCCCTGCCACCACTGCGCAGGATACAAAGCCAAAGTTGTTTGTTTTTGGCATTATAAAGGATCACACTCACACAATCTTTTCTCCACCTGCCTTACTGCAAGACATTATTGTATTTTTACAGGAAGATACTACAGAGCCTTACAGTCTCTGAGAGCTTTAGAGTAAGCCATTAAGAATGTTCTGAGGTGTATCCTGAGCAAACCTGAGTGACAACTGAGAAAAGAATGGGGGAGTCCCAACAAAAACTGAGTGGAGGTGATGTGTGGTCAAGCTGTGAGACATCCTGGAATCTGAGGAGCCCAGTCCCTGCTCACCCAGGGACTCCTCTGGCCTTAACCCTGCACCCCATGTGCCCAGCACTGGGGAATCTCACTGCCTCTGTTCAACTTTTACCCTGGGAAGGCCCGTTTATCTTCCTAGATACATAAACCTCCTCTCTCTAAATACACTGAAAACACCTGGTAGGCAGAAAATCATCCTGTATTTCCCAGACCCACAGAACTCATCACAGCATCGGGGTATAAGGGGACCCCAATGATCCTTCAGTTCTTTGCTACATCAAGGAAGGACCTCAGCCTTACCCCAGCCTAGAGGTTTGTTGGAAATGCAGCACCTCAGTCTCCACTCACAGCCACTAAGTCAGAAGGTGTGCACCTAAGGACCTGCTGTCCCGCTCCTGCAACAGGATCTCTTACCAGCCTTAGCACGCAGGTCAGCAAACCACAGCCCTGGGCCATATCTGGTGCACCCCCAGTTTCTGTACAGCCCCCAGGAGTTTAAGAACAGTCTTTAAATTTTCAAATGGCTAAAAAAATTTCAAAAAAATGATATTCACCTAACACAGGAAAATTATATGAAAAGTCAAATCTTGGTGTCCATAAATACTTTTATTAGAACACAGCCACACATCCCATTCATGTGCTATGGCTGCCTCCACACTTCAGTGACAGAGCTGTGCAGCTGTGACATAGACACTGTGGCCCCAAAGCCTAAAGGCTTTACTAATGGACTTCTACAGAGAAGGTCTGCTGCCACTCCCTCTGTACATGTTTCTTCCTCAGCCCAGAATGCCCATCCCTCACCTGTCCATGTGGGCAGAGTCCAAGTTCCATCTCCACCTCCTCACTGATCTCCTCCTTCCCTGTGCCCTAAGGTGAGCCCTTCCCAACCTAAGCTGCTTCAATCAATTCAAATGTAATTAACTTTATGGTTTTACAGTCATTGCTTTCATGTCAGCTTCATCTCACAACTTCAAGACCTTTCAGGTGTACCATTGGGCATCTTTGTATCCCTGGCATGTAGCAGATGCTCAAGAAATGTTCACTGACAAGGGACTCGGTAAAGAGAGAATGTTCATTTGTGGGATAACTGTTTTATACATTAAACATATTGTGATAAGCACTGTGTAATCAAGTACAAACACGGAGATCTATCCCCTGACCTTAAGGAACATGTAATCCAGTCGGGCAGATAGTTCACATAAAAATATACTCTAAGGGGTGATGTGACGGTTTCCTAGAGAGAGTAATAGCTATTCAGCTGGGGGAGGGCAAGACAAGAGGAGGGAGTAGATGGCCAAATTCTCCTGTAACTTTTTAAAGGACAGTGTGTATCACAGATCTGATCGAGCTTTAGGCTCAAACGCAGTCAACATGCAAGCATCTAACATGTGCCCCCTCTGTGCCAGCTGCCGTCACCATAAAGACACGCATGGCTCTGTGTTGAGATGATAGCGGCTCGCTGTTACTCCAGAATAAAGCAAACCCTGTGTTGTGAGAGTGCCAATGGGTGGCATCTGCAGGCAGGTTCCCTCCGCTTCCTGCCTCCCCACCTTCATCCTGATCATGGATTCGCAGCTTAATGTGTCTGTGAATTACTGAGCAGAGCTGTTTACCCAACGTCACGCATGCCACACTTGATGAGCGATTTACAGGACTTCCAAGGGCAATTTTAACCATAATCAAATTTTGCTTTACGCACTGCCTTTGCAAACCCCCCCCCCACACACACACTCCTTTCCCCCACAGACCCACCACCTTACCCGCACCCCCCGAGGAAGATTCACTGCCTCTGTAATCCAGTACAAGGCGGGACATGATCAGTGCAAAGAGAACAGGTTAAGAGAAGGGACAGTCAGCACCACAGTAGCCAGGAAAGACCTGAGGGAGCAAAACGGACATGATCTGAGCAGTGGAGATGGAAGAATTTGGAGGGGAAGGGGTTCCTTCAGGGTAATGAAAACGTTTTTAACTAGAGAGAGGTAGCAGATACACAACACGGTTTTAAAAGCCAATGAATTGTTCACGGTAAAGAGTTAATTTTATGTTATGGGAAATTCATCTCCTTTCTTTTTAAATCTTCACCCAAGGATATTTTTTCCATTGCTTTTTCAGAGAGAGTGGAAGGGGAAGAGACAGAGAGAGGGAAAAAGAGAGAGAAACATCAATGTGAGAGAGACACACTGGTTGGATGCTTTCCACACGCACCCCAACCTGGGCCGGGGATTGAGCCTGTAACCGAGATACGTGCCCTTGACCAGTATTGAACCTGAGACCCTTCAGTCTGAGGGCCAACGCTCTAACCACTGAGCCAAACTGGGTAAGGCTTTACCTCATTTTTTAAAAATAAAGTGTTCTGGCTGCAGATGAAGCACATGCATCCTGTACACTGTCTCTGGGCATGGGTTCTCCCTGCTGGTCTCTGGGAAAGCAGTAGGACAAAATACATACTTTTTAACAGAAAGCTATCATCTCTATAAGCCAAAAAGACACACTCTAGAACCAAGGTTCTTTGTTGCCTCTTAATTTTCTCATCGTCAAGGAATTCCTTCCAACAAATCCAACCTCTAGCATCTTTCCTGGAGGCAGCAGACTGTAGGAAAGACAAGCTCACTCACATAACTCAATTATAGTGCCAGCCTTTTGTCCCTACCTTGTTCGAACGCTGCTTCATTTCATCATATCAAAGTAAACAAAGTAACAAGTGCCTTGGAACAGAGAGGTATTCTGTTCCCAGTTCACTTCTTCCACCCCTGCAGGGCCAGCACAGAGGCAGTTCTCAGACCCACAGCTGGAGGGAGTGGCCACCTACAGCAACAGTGTTCAACTCTGGTGGCATATCATAGTCCCCAGGGAGCTGTGCCAGCTTCCCAAGCCAGCCAATCTTTCAGGCCCATTACATCAGTCTCTGAGGGAGGGAACTGGCGGTGTTTTTTCAAGCTTCCCAGATGCACTCAACGTGTGAGCAAATTTGAGAACCACCAGTCCATGCAGTTTGGTGTGGTAACTGTGATTTCCAGGGCACCACAGACGCTCACGTGCCTAGAGGCTTCTCCCCACCAGCCTGTGGTAGAATGTGAAATCCCAGCTGTGGATTCTTTCTTCTGAGCTAAAGCACTCTCTCCAGAAAGCTCCTGCTAAAATGTAACTTCAGTATCGAGAAGAGTAGAGCATTTACCCATTTATACTATCATGCAGTACAGTTCTGTGGTTGAGTGTGTGGGCTCCGGAGCCAGACAGCCTGGGTAAGAATTCCACCCGCCACTAAGAGCTCGGGTAGGCTGATGAATGGGTCTGAGCCTCGGTTTCCTCGGTTGTACAATGGGGTAAGAGTTAAATGCTCGCGAGGCATTCCAAGAATGAAATGAGATCCCACGGTATCAGAGTTATTTACTGTAATGTTAGTAATAGTGATGATGATGAAGATACTGTATACTGTTTAGTCTAGAAGGAGGCATCCTGAAGGGATCTTGCATAG